GGGGGGGGGGGGGGGGGGGGGGGGGGGGGGGGGGGGGGGGGGGGGGGGGGGGGGGGGGGGGGGGGGGGGGGGGGGGGAGGTATGAGGTATCGCGCTTGGCCGCAGTAGACTTTGGTGCACTACCTAGAAAAGCGAGCACGTCGAAGTTCCGCCGATAGGCAAGGGAGAGCTACAAAAGAACCAGACTGGTTGATTGTGTTCGGTAGTCAGAGCTAAGCGATCATTCGCTCCACACATATTTACCTTGAGAACATGACAATCGAACGAAATTTCCGATGAGAGCTATTGCCAAGCCAAGTTCTCCTGCCGGACACAAACAACGAGCGATGTGTTCGCTGGCCGACGTTCTTTATCCTCTCGCGTAAGGCTTCTTGCATCTGATTCTGAGGTTGGTTGAGCTGATCAACATAGGCAGAGAGAGAGCCAGGTCACGCGGAACAGCGGTGGCGGAAAACCAACACATGCATACTTCCTAAAAAAAAAATGACATATAAACAAGGGTACCATACAAAAAAACAGTCAAGCCACACGTTGATCAAGCCACACGTTGACAGCGGCAAGGGAGGCAGCACTTGAAGGCACCAGGGAGGTGCTTCAACCAAAGGAGAATGCTGTCTTGGAACACCCCACCCCCTTCGCGCACGGCCCCAGCTTCACCACCATGCGTGATTTATTATCTCCAACATTTGCGTGCGTGATTCTGCATCTCCCACCGACATTCGCATACGTGATTCCTGAATCACATTAATCATCGTAGAACCAAATACAACGTGAGCCCCAACCCGAAGGGAAGCCACTGAGCCAGAAAGCCGGAGACTGACACGTAGCGGCCGGCGAAAAATATCCAGAAGCAAAGCGACACCATGTTCCACGACTCCACGCCCGCGTACCGCATCCTCTTGAGCGCCAGCGCGACGTGGGAGTGGCAGTTGTCGCAGCACAGGTTGTGCATGCGCTGGCTGCACGGTGTACAAGCGGGTGTTGGAGTACGGCGGGAAACGCGAGAGGGGAGAGGCGGGGCAAATGCGGTGTGGGGGCTAGCTGAATAATTGTCTTGCTGCAACTATCACTGCCCTATCTGGTTTGGCTCTTTGGTGTGTACTAGACGACGGAGCTGCGGGACACCTCAACGTGCATCCCCTCCCGTGTTCAAGCTATACGCCGAGCTTTGCCAGTTCGTCGGCGACAGCATCTGCGGAGGGGTTCCCGCGTCTGCCTTTGGGGGAAAAGTTGTAGAAAATTCCTGACCAGTGACCCATCAACGGCCTAGCTCTTACACCAGACCCACTGACTTTTCCACAAACCGCATCCGTAACTGCAACTACGACGCTGCTGCATCTTCAACTCGGTCTGTACCACCGGTGGTTAGAGCACGCTGTGACTCTCAGTGGTACACCCCGGCGTTATTTCCTAAGCCCACAGATGAGCTACAAAAAGGAAGCAGTTCGTACCCCCGAGTTTCAGGTACCACCGGTGTTTCGGCATGAGCCCCACCTTCGCCACGTTCACCTCACCCGCATCCGTGTTGAAGCGAGCTCGCGCGCGCACAAGATACAGCGCACGAGCCTTTGCGCATAATTTTGATTGTTTTTTTTGTCATCACTTCATATCATCAGCGCTTGCAGCATTCGTGCCGCTTACTCCAACCCGTGGTCACACAGAAGGGTCCCTCTCCCTGACGCCTCCCACCCACCCCTCCTGCATCACCTCACATACAGTAGGAGGACCAATATACGGCCGGTATAATCTCGTGGCACTATGCGGCTTTCTGATCTCGTGGCACAAATCAGCTTATGTCGGGGCCCCTACTGCGGTACATCGAAGCTACTGCTGCTCTACAGAGATTTCCCTCGACCACAACTGTGGCATACCTGTAGGTCTCGCAAGAATGAGCGACTGACTCGTCCCATTGCCCCCCCTTGCAGCGGCCCGGATCGAGCGGGAGGTAGCGGGTGGGCCGCCCGAAGGCCATGTGGTCCTCCCCGATCGTGTACGGCCCGGCGAAGTCGTAAATCACTCCGCGGGAGTCTGCGATGCCCATGTGTCCTGGAAGCGGAGGCATGCCATCAAGTTCATTGGTCACGCCATCGTCTGCCGACCTTGCGCATTAGCCAACCGGTTAGGCAGCGCGTTGTTGCATAGTGGTGCGGCCAGCTAGCTCCGCCATCTTGCCGTTGTAGATCCGACCAAACACCACGTCCTTGGGGACTGTCTGGTTGTATTGTGTTCCAGTACTGGACGTATGTAGCACTCGGCAAAGCTGTTGCGGCCTCTTACGTATGATTCCAGGAGTGAGAGGGCAGACGCTACAGACGGGATTATAGGAGTAGGAAGGGTAGGCCAATAGGAGCTACAACTCGTCGGTACACCATTCACGCAGCAACAGCAGTGCACCCGCTGTAAGCTGCTGTTGCGGCATCACTTAACGGACGCTGACTGCAAGGTTGCTGCTTGTTCTCTGCAGACAAGCAAACTCAGCGGTTGCAGTACCACTGGTGTCATTGTTTTGAGTATAGATAACGCCCTGTTAATCTGGAGGTATGGGCCGTTCAGTTCCACGGGTGGTGATCACATTGCCTTGTGGGGGGCATTCGCGCTACAGCGGTGATACGCGCACGTGTGCTGCACCGAACTCACCTATTAGCGGGATAAACCAAGTGATGAAAGGGAGGGGCGTCCAGACGATGCAGTAGGGATATCTCGACCGTGCCTTGTCTATGCCCCTGTCGACGACGACCCCCGCCCCGGCTGATTTCATCATATCGGTCTGGTCCTCCTGCTGTACGTCCGAGCTGGCCAAATTATCCATCCCCCACCGACGAAAGAACGGGTTGCGCAAGCAGCGGTGCATCGCCGGCTCGCCGGCGTACCTCTTCCGTCAAAAAAAGAGATGGATACAGCACGCCTCCTTGAGGTTTTAAGGGTTATTTTGTGGGCCACATCGCCGCCACGACCGTCAAAGAGACCGCTCCCTCCTGCCTCCCACCACCATGCTGGTCTGTGGGGCCTCGATCCGTGTAGTGGTGTTCGTGGTCGCTGCCGTTGCGGCACTAGCGCCTCGGAACCTTCATCAGGCGGGAGCTTTCTGCGCCTCGTTTGCACCCACGGGACTGTGAGTTCTGTACTCTGTGGAGGCAGCATACAGCGGTAGAGGGTGTTTGCGGATGGGTTTTGATTTTGGTCTCGGAAGTCAGGAGCAAGTTCGGAATCAAGGCCTGAATTTGGTTTCAAAACTGTTTGCGAAGACCGAACTGCCTCTCTCTCTCTCTGGTCTTATTTTCGGCGTTCCAAGAAGTTACACCATGTGACGCCACGCACGTGGTCGTTTGCCGTATATGTGTGTTCTGCTCGCGTGAGTCCGTGCAGCACAACTACCAACAGCAACGCTGGCTGTCAAGTAAACCTCCGTCTACCATGAGCCATGTGACGGAAGATCTCTATTCATTGCACGCTTGCTACGGTAGACTCATCTATCGCGCCCAAATAATTTCGAACCGCAATGACTGCTGTATACCTACGCCCTTCGCTCTGCTGTACACCTAAGCGCTTTGCTGGCTTCTGTGACAATTTAAATTTACTATTTATCGGCACACACGTCACGTCACCCCCTCACTCAGATTACGCGCACCGACCGCCACCGAACCTTTTGTAACGCCCCTCCTCTACGCTTTTTGCTTCGATATCTGTTTTTCCGGCGTTAGGCTGGCCCGCAACGCGTGAGCTTTTTACCTCTTCGGAGAGGTGTGTGCTGCCCGTCATCGTGTTTGAAAAAGTTCAACCACCATCACCACAGAGCGTGTGTGGTGTGAGGTGCTGTCCAACGAGCAACATGTGTGAAACAGACCTCTTTGTACCCTCCGCCTGCCGCTATTGTCGGCGACGTGTTTGGGGTTGACTCTGGCGGCGCACACACAAAGTTTGCTTGTGTCTTTCACGTCCTCCTCATGAAGCCCACGGGGTTTCCGCCCGGTCAACGAAGTTTCTAAGAAACTGTTCCTAGAAAGACCAAAATGAGTAAGATCAGGCCCTTGTTTATGGTTTCCAAATCTTTATCTTCCTTTCTTTCGACAAATGTTGACTTTTTCGACCTTTTGGGCAGTCTGCCTCCCGAACGAGTGCGAATCAGCTGTTCGACCTTTGAGAACAGTCACAGCTTTGGCTGAGATGTCTACAGATCGCCTACATGCTTCGCCAGGGTCCACGTTTGGTTTTTTTAAGGTGCGCAATGTTCACGCAAGATTTTTCCAACACCAGCTTTTGGACAGATCTTGGCCCAAAATTTGCTCCGAGGTGGCCTTTCGGCCGAATCTTCAACATCTTGCTCTGCTGGAAAAAAATCAAACGTGAACCCTGGCGAAACATGCAGGCGATCTGTAGATGTCTCAGCCAAAGCTGTGACTGCTGTTCTCAAAGGTCGAACAGGTGATTCGCACTCGTTCGGCAGGGAGACTGCCCAAAAGGTCGAAAAAGTCAACACTTGTCGAAAGAAAGGAAGATAAAGATATGGAAACCATAAACAAGGGCCTCAGATGGGAGATTTTCTGCTGTCTTTGGTGGGCGGCAATCCACAACAGATCCATCGAACTTGGGACCGCGGAGTGATAAAAGACCTCGATCAAACCAATAATTTATCTTCGCAAACACCTACGGGTAGTAGGGGTGGTGAGGAGTATTGAGCAGTGGTTTGAGTTTGCAGACAATTTTTCCGTGTGCCCAGAAACAGCAGTAGTTGCAACAGCAGTTGGACTCACCTCGGCATCACGGTCCCTCAGCAGCCAACAGATTCCGAGATCGCGTGGCTCGTTCTCAGGCACGGTTGAGCAATTTACGTATTTTCGGCGCGTACCGAGTACGCTTCACCCCACTCCTGGTTTCCTCGAAAAGATAAAACGTGACTGCTGTCCAGCCATAACAAAATAATTCGCACGAAAGTGGCTTTTTTGCTTGAAGGTCTGAATGAATGGTCAACCCTCATTGTTGCTGCCTCCTCTGGAGGTCCGTCGGAGGTAATGCAGTCTATATTTGCTATTCAGGGTTAAATGCCATCCTCGGAGATCACTAGACCAGCCAAGATACATTGCGCCCGTGACAACAACAAGCCGGTCCTACATTTCTCAAGCGGCAAGAAACTCATTGTCCGTACTAAAGCTTCTTGTCCGTGGCCGTGAATCGACACAAAGTGCAGACCAGGGAACAAGGGTCCCAGGGGTAGACCTCTCGGCCAGACCGTCGACACGGTTTTTTTGCTTTCGCCAATTCTTGGATTTTCTCTGCATTCTACACTTATGTATGGAAGGAGACCACGATCAACGACGTGGAGCTGTTCCATGCTTCGGTCGAGCAATGGGCCAGGAGGAGAAGAAGACGGCGCTGATTCGACGGGTTCGGGGGCAGCCGAAGACCCGGACAGCTTCCTGGCAGGGCAAGCCCTGCAGGTGAGCAGCCCGCTTTTTTTTCTTTCATGGCCTTTGTGGTTCATCGCGTGGAAGGGGTACTACCCATCCCATCACCCCCCCGCCCTTTTTCATCGATAGGTTTACGTCGAGTTCCCCTTCGTGCCCACATGTCCTCATTATTTGTTCACTTCGCTCAGGACTCTAAAATTGAACGGCCAGATCGCATGGCGCAGCAGCGAACTGCCACACTGTGTTTGCGTTTTCTTAAACACAAGTTGTTCGTTTCCCGCGACGACAACACTGCTGCCCGCCTTGGACCACCCAAAACCCCACCCAAAAACCCCATCGACACATCATTTCACTGTGAATGAACGAATGAACCTTCGCATACTACCGTAGTCGACTGTCATGCACGCTTGCACAGTCAGTGGAAATGCTTCTCACTCTCAAGTCAGGGATGATAACGTTCGAAATGATGATGGCATCCCGCTCACCCGGAAACCGAACCCACCGACCTCCGTCGACCGACCCCCTCGTTCGTGGGTCTCCGGCCGTTTCTGTGCCCCTTAGTGGTTGGAGTTCTGGAAGAACAGAACGCCCAGCCCGGCGTTGCCGCCGACCCAAGTGATCGGCCTGCTCATGGTCGCTCTCCAGAGGAACGACGATCCCGCGGAGAACGATGGGCTGAGGACAGTGAGTGGCGTTTTGGAGCAGGTAGACGGGGGGTGGTACTGGAGTGCCCCTGTTTTTTTTTTGGGTGAGGTGATCGAGCATGCCTTTCTGGTTGCCACACGATGTTGGAAACAGCTACAAGCGCAGCAGCGACTCATCAGCAACAGCTGGCGTGCAGGCAGACAGCGCAAAACTCCCCCCGCGTATTGGTGAAGCAGCTAGGCTAATAGCTGCCGTAGCAACACACGCTTGGTGGCTGCACCTAATACGAAGCACGCCGCCGTTGTGACTGCCTGTATTTTTCACCGATCAGTGGTGTCTCCTCGTGCGTTAACTTCGCCCATTGATCTCGGCCCCGTGTGTCGACCAAGGTGTTTGAATTTTCGTCGGGGATGTGCCGTAGGGCTGTCGGGGGCACCGCGGAGAGCTTCATCAAAGAAGCGCGGTACTCGGTGAGTTATGTCGGACGGCGTAGGTGGGGTGATCTGGTCTGTTGTGCCGATTCTCGGGGCGGCGTAGGAAGGGCGGAATGCTATGGACCCGACTTGCAAGCTTTGTTTCAGAAAGGAGGTCCTGTGCCTGCAACGAAGCCTGCACCGGAAAGCACTCAGTGTCTGGCGGTGAATCTTTCCAATGGTCGAGCTGAGTAGGCTGTCTTTCCCGGAACGCGCGATTTAGCGCAGCGGGCTGGCGTCCGGCAGTCACGGCGTGTCGAACCAACATAGTTTATCATCCGCGATGCACCTCTTGATTGCGGTTGTCGTGTTGCAGACACATGCGTGACTATTCGAACGCTACACTCTGCCCGGGTTATTTTTCCTTCCCTGTTTCCACGCGGGTTCGGAGGTTATATCTCGGCCTTCCTCTCTGTCTCTCTTTATCTCTTTATCTCTCTCTCTGTATCTCTCTCTGTATATCTCTCTGTATCTCTCGCTTTCTTTCTCCCCACCCTTCTCTGTCTCTGTCTATCTGTGTGTGTGTCTCTCTCCACTCTCTCCCTCTATATATATCGGTCTGTCTGTCTACCTGTCTGTTTCTCTCTCGTTCTCCCTCCCATTTACTAGAATTTTCTCGTGTCTCCACCTTTTTTCCCGTCGCGCTTATATCGTCTCTGTTCCTTTTCACCAATGTTGCCACCCGAATCAATTGGCACAGGTCTTTGGGGCAACCGTAGGCTGTCAGTCCTTCGCGCTGGAGCCGATGAGCATGGTGGGCGACCGCCTTGCAACGCAGGTGCGGACTACCTGCACTGGCCCCCCACGAGAATCACGATGCCTTGTTTCGACTCTGCGATTGTAGCTCTCTCAAGGACTCCCGTTCTAATCGAAATCGAGGGGACTACATCGGCATTGACGCCGCGGGAAAAACTGGTGGAGGGTATGTGTTACCGGCACAGGGTTCTGGCGCTAGCCGGCACGTCGTGCGTATGTTTACTCCCATCAGGTCTGGAAAACTTTACTTCTGGCCTCGATCTGCTATGTTGTGTGCGCGAGCTGCGTCTTAACGGAGGCAGAGAGAGTCAAACATTTTTCGCCACGGTCTTGAGGTTTTGGAGCCGGAGGGCTGCTGTGGAAATGTTGTCAGCACAGCTGGCATCAAGCGTGTCGTTCAGCAGACGTTTTCAACGAAACAATATCGCACGTGCACCGCAGAGACCCCCCCCCCCATTATGTGTAAATGCGGTGCCCCCCTCAGGTAGTGAGCGTGGTTGCCTCCGACGGAAGGCAGAGGAGGTTCCTTTGGACTCTCGAGCGTCAACGACG